CTATATACCACAATACCGCATACTCTCAGGAAACCTACAAAAACACCCCATGACATAAAAATTTAATGAGTATAAAATTCTATATATAAAAACTATAGATGATATATAATGTGCGAGGAGGTGGGGTGAGTTCAAAAACGAATTAAATTTTCATACCAAACATAATAAATGTTATATTTGTCTGTATTATTTCGCTAAGAGGCTTCTTGCTGGAATTTTATTTATAAACAGAATGGTTAGTGAACACGTAATGAATAAAAACATATTTTTTGGCTCTCTGCAATTCTGACATCAGGTTAAATAAAATATTTGTTCAATTAGAGGTTTTATTGTCAAATATGGCTGGCAGGATTTTATTTCCATAATATGTCTCTATATCTTAGTTTTTGTTGTTTTTTATTTGTTTGTTTTTCACGATAGTCTATCTTTTATCTTTAATAATATATCTGGAGTTTCAGAGCAATGCCTCAGCAACAAAACGAGTAATATGAAATTGAAAGTTGACTACGAGGAATTTTCCTTCTAAATAAAAAATATGGACGAAATCTGAGTAATTTGACTAAATCCTGTTTGCGTGCTATTAGCCTGAAGTGAGTGCTCCTTCTATTGTGAATGCTGTTAGCTCTCAAGTTCCTTTTACGGGCGATGGATCGCCTCTTCGACGTCCAGGCTTTGTCCCAGGCGTTATATCAGGTGCTAGTGATGGAGGTCCGTTCAAGATTGTCTGACTGACGAACTCGGTTTAACGAAGCAGGAGTCACACTCCATATGGCCTTGGACGCCTGGGTCGAAATGCTTCACTAACGAGGCATCACTCACCTGGCTGGTGTTGCAAAAGGCCCACTGAGTCGGGAAAAAAAAACTTTGTTCAGCAGGTTTTGAAATTTCTCCAAACTGCGTTCGCTGCATTGAGTCAGTGGAGGCCCTGGGTCTCATCTTTCACTTCAGGATGTAGACCCGTTGTTCAAGTTTTTTGAAGACATTATGGTTCGCATGCTGCACTGAAAGTTCTTTGTTCTTGAGGCCAATTCTGTTTGTAGCAATGTGGTAGCGTCATTGACTAAGGGTGAGTACTATGAGTTTTTGTGCCTGCTAGTTATTATGCGATTCGTGATATGGACAACGCAACAGAAAGATTTTTATGGAAACGATTTTACCTCTTCACAAATGATCTTGTTCTTTAAGCATCAACTTAAACTTAAGATTAGGACGGAAAGGCGACGACTCCATCCAATAGAATTTAGCAAATGGTGTGTGAGCCTTGCTCGTTGTATTTATTCGTACAAAAAGTACAAATTGTGGCACGAGGCCAATAAAGGGGAGGGGTAGAAGCTGGTCAACACTAACTCTTATACCTAGCTAATCAGATTCGCGACCCATTCGTACATTACATTTTACCCATTCACCAAAAGAACTCGTCCATCACCAAACAATCCTTCAACCACCATAATACCACGTGCTCTCAAGGGAGACCTACCAAAATCGCGCCCCATGCCATAAAAATTTTAATGATGATATATATATATATATACAATTCTAATACAAATATATATACAATTCTACTACAAATACATTACGGATTTAACTGCTATATTATATATATGTCATTCGGACGAGTTCATTTCGACAAGTGAGGAAGGACGAAACTATCCGGTGAACAGTTTTCTGTAATTTTTTCGCTCTTAAGTTTACATATTTTTTGCAATAATGTTTAAAGGCTACTCGATGTAAAGGGTTACAGAGTAAGAGTCAGTTATGTAGCATGCGTTATAAAAGTTTAGGAGATCATGTATCTTTCGATACATGATTGACGAGGCAGATTTTTTTTCCGTAATAAGTTGGCATTTTTTTTTCTGCAGTAGATCAGTTGCCATCCAAGGCTATAGAACCCGGTCTGTCTTGCTAATTACCCATAGCTGGTGGGAGAAGAAGAGGATTCATATTTTTCCCAAGGGTATTAGCCCGTAAGTGAATGTAATGGATTCGACAGAGTAAGAGGCACAACCTATAGGGATATGTGGAGAAGATAACGGTTAACCCTAGACTTGAACAGGTTAAGATTGAAGTAATCGAGGAAACATCCTCTTGGGAATCGGTTCCCTAGCGTAGCGATTTGTCGGAAGAAGTTGTTCGAGTTTCCACCTCACCAATGAAATACGAAGGGAATGAAGATGGTTCGCTACAATGTGTCTGACATGTTGGGTCTTAGGTGTGAATGTTAGAATTGGTGGAACTATCGAAATGTAATTCGTCGATGGAAATTAATCCATCACCCACAAGGCCGCATAATATAATAATAATAATAATAATAATAAACTGAAAGAAAATGGTATAAACACCACCCAGACCCGGTTACGGAGATAGGACCTGTTACAATTCTATGGGACTACATAAATACACACTGACAGAACATTCAAAGCCAACCGCCCAGATATTGTTATTAAAGACCACAAACAAAAAAAGTGCCTCCTCATTGATATGGCAGTCCCTGCTGACTGCAATGTATCTTTGAAGATATTGAAAAAGCTGTAAAAAAATAGAAGGACCTTGAAATAGAAATCTCAAATATGTGGCATATGGGAACATCAACAATACCTGTTGTAGTTGGAGCCCTAGGAATGGTTGGAAAAGATTGCAGTAGACTAATTGAAGGGATTCCTGGAAGTCCATGCCTCAAGGAGATACAAAAAATTATTCTGACAAGTACAGCCCACACTTTACGAAGGGCTTTATCTATGTAATTTTTTTTTTTTTGTCAGTGGAAAGTGTCATGATGCCATTTCTAACCTTAAGTCCCTGGGAAAGAAATGTGTAAACGCCAGAAATCAAAGAAAATAATAATAATAATAATAATAATAATAATAATAACTGTTAGTGCGGACAGTTAATCCCTGTTGCAGACAGTAAATGTGTGTTTCTTCACCACCGATATGTGGGTTACATTCTAGCAACTACGATGAGCGGACCTTATCTGAAATTACTACGGGAGGGTTCATAACTTGGTGTGGTCAGTGGTTGAACAAGGGCAGTTCGCTCAAACACTCGGTCACGATGACTTGTGACTTTGTGCTAGAACGAACAGCGACAACTTCTGAACAGTTCCGACTGTCGATTTCACTTACAGCGCTTGGGTCAATCCGCGTTATGATATTCACACACTTCGCAACCACGTCGCACGCTGAGATCGTCTTCCCGGGTCGATATTATCAAAAGTCATCTCTTTGACAAAGAGAGAGATTCGAACCCTGAACTCATGTTAGCGTTCAAACCACTAGGTTATGCGCACATACATACATACATACATACATACATGCATACATACATAATGGCCAGCTTCTCATTTTCCGAGTACATCTTTTTGCTAAATCGTCTAGACAATCCCTGTTGCAGACAGCTGTTGTTTTAACAACCCAGAGAGCTCACCCGTGGTTTATGCAGCAACTATGGCGAACAGACCTTAGTTACGGTTTCTGAGTTTATTTACCTTAGTCTCCCAACAAGGAAGGGTATGGCAAAATGCCGTTTTTTATTTGGGGCGATTTCAAGCCCGTAGGCTTGGGGAAAAAATTCCCCGTAGACTACGCATAGCTTCATGTCTCGCACCTCTCGCCTGTGGAACTCCCTTCCCTATTCCAGTTTCCCTGAGAGCTATAATCTCCAACTATTCAAATGTAATGTCAATCGACATCTCCAGTTGTCTTGATCTATCCACTATCCTTCTCCTCATCCTTTCCTCTATCACTCCTATCTGATCTTGCTCCAAATCTTCTGTAACCCCTTGCGTCCTAGTGGCTTCCCGCCTTGCTTGGGGTGAAACGCTTAAAAAAAAATACACGGGGTTGGACTTGTCTACGTCCCCAAACGCGACTCTGCCCTTTGACATAGCCTCGTCTGGGTTCTTCTCTGCCCGAATGTAGAGAGTTCGACAAGTCAGCCGCGAACCGCTTCAGTCGGCAGCTCTGGTTTCTGAGAGAAAGAGAGAAAGAGAGAGAGAGAGAGAAAGAGAGTGTGTGATCTCGCTAGAAAACCGCCAGTGTGTTCAAAACCTAGGTCACGATGACTTCGTTCTAATACAACCATCGACGGCTTCCAAAATGTTCAGTCTGCCTACAAGGTTTGGGTAAACCTGTGATATGGTTTTCAGGCACTTTCCAAAGGTGCCGCGCGCTGGAATCACCTCCTCAGAGCGATAACCTCAAGAAGTGACCTTCTTGACAAATTGAGTATGGTGAGATTCGAACCTGACTCTCATGGCCGGAAAGGAAACGTTCTAACCACTTGGCCACGTACCTAATATATACATACATATATACATAATGGCCGAGCACAATCGTCTAATAGGGAGGCTAGCCAATCTCTGTGGCAGACACAAGCTCAGAGCCCCCTAATTGTTTATACTACACCTTTGCTAGTTACAGTTTCTGGGAGAAAGCGCGTCATCGAGTATGATCAACAGTCTGAACAAGGCCGGCAGGCTCAAACCCTCGGTCACGATGACTCGTGACTTCGTGCTAGCACAACCATCGACAGATATTCTGCCTACACAATTTCACTCACAAGGCTTGGATCTACACGGGGTATGGTTTCAAAGGCAGTTTCAAGGAGTGCTGCATGCTGGGATAGCCTCCTCAGACTATCAAGAAGTCACCTTTTTGATAAATCGAACATGGTGAGATTCGAACCCGGGTCACATGGTTGGAAAAGGTTTAACCACACGCCCATACATACATACATACATACATACATACATACCTACATACATATATATATTTTCCATGTTGAACTGTTTATGAGTGAGGACTTAGCTCTTTATATGTGTTTGTGTTCCTGCATACGCCGACAGGAAGATAATTGGCAAATATTACATTGAACATGTGGCAGGAGAGAACCTAACGCCGGTGGATAGACATTGTAGACATTGAAAATGTAATATTTTCCGTTTTATTGTTGCTTCAGTCCTTAAAAGATAATTGCAAAACCACTATATTTGGATACTTTTTATGTCCAACTATCTACGCGCAATGTTTACTTTTCAATGTATGTATAACGTTTCTTAAACTAATATACGGTTTTCTCACATATGTATTAATATTGTACGTGTATATATTAAATTTGGAACACAATATGTACACTTCATGCCCTCCACACTTGTCGCTTTACCTTTTTTTCCAAGTTTTGAATCTGTTATCTTTGTGCTCATCTATAATTGCCTTTAACTCACTTGTTCTCTTATATTGGTCTCCTCCGTCTCATCTCTAGTTTTTCCTTCTTTCTTTCTTTCTTTCTTTCCTTCTTTCTTTCTTTCTTTCTTTCATTCTTTCTTTCTTTCTTTCTTTGCCTTTAGTGTAAACAATATTTGATTAGCAAATCCTTTCTTTCTTTATTTTTCCTTTCTTTCTTTCTTTCTTTGCCGTTAGTGTAAACAATATTTGATTAACAAACCCTTTCTTTCTTTCTTTCTTTCTTTCTTTGCCTGTAGTGTAAACAATATTTGATTAGCAAATCCTTTCTTTCTTTCTTTCTTTTTTCTTTCTTTCTTTTTTCTTTCTTTCTTTTTTCTTTCTTTCTGTTTTCTTTCTTTCTTTCTTTGCCTGTAGTGTAAACAATATTTGATTAGCAAATCCTTTCTTTCTTTCTTTCTTTTTTCTTTCTTTCTTTTTTCTTTCTTTCTGTTTTCTTTCTTTCTTTCTTTCTTTCTTTCTTTCTTTCGTTGCCTGTAGTGTAAACAATATTTGATTAGCAAATCCTTCCTTTCTTTATTTTTCCTTTCTTTCTTTCTTTGCCGTTAGTGTAAACAATATTTGATTAGCAAATCCTTTTTTTCTTTCTTTCTTTCTTTCTTTGCCTTTAGTGTAAACAATATTTGATTAGCAAACCCTTTCTTTCTTTCTTTCTTTTTCCTTTCTTTCTTTTTTCTTTGTCTTTAGTCTAAACAATATTTGATTAGCAAACCCTTTCTTTCTTTATTTTCCTTTCTTTCTTTCTTTCTTTTTTCTTTCTTTCTTTTTTCTTTCTTTCTTTTTTCTTTCTTTCGTTGCCTGTAGTGTAAACAATATTTGATTAGCAAATCCTTTTTTTCTTTATTTTTCCTTTCTTTCTTTCTTTGCCGTTAGTGTAAACAATATTTGATTAGCAAATCCTTTTTTTCTTTCTTTCTTTCTTTCTTTGCCTTTAGTGTAAACAATATTTGATTAGCAAATCCTTTCTTTCTTTTTTTCGTTCTTATTTTATTTCTTTCTTTCTTTCTTTCTTTACCATTTCCGTCTTTTTTCTTAATCCAATTCTCTCTTCATTTCTCTTTTAACTTCTCTAAATTCTCCTTTCATTTCTCTCTCTCTCTCTCCCCCCCCACTTCTAAACGTTCTCCTGTCTCCTCCTCTTTGATTATTACTTTTTTACTTTTTCTTTTAATCTTTTATTTTGACTTTCTATTCTCTCCTTTTTCACTCACCCTCTTTTTCCCTTCCCTTCTCTCCTTTCTTACGTCTCTCTCTTTTCCTCTTCCTCCTCTTCTCCCTTTTTTACACTCCTCTCTTTCCCTTCTCATATTCGTTCCTTTCTCACACCCCTCTCTGTTTCTTCTTCCTCTTCTCTCTTTTTTAACACCTCTCTCCTTTCCTTTACATTATTATTTCCTTTTTATACTCTTCTCTTTTTCTTACCCTCTTTTCTCAACTCTCACTTTTCCTCCTCTTCTCTCCTTTCGCCTATTCTTTCCTCTCTTAACATGTTTCTCTTTTGCTCCCATCTTTCTTCAACGCTCTTTTTTTCATCCACCTCCCTTCTTTTTTACAGCTCTCTCTTTTCCTTCTCCTACTCTCTCCTTTCTTACGTCCTTCTCTTTTTCTCCACGTCTCTCTCTTTTTACGCCACTTCCGCTTCTCTCCTTTTTAAAGAGAAGGGTGTAAGAAGGAAGAGCTTTTTTTTACATACCTCGCTTTTCCTCCTTCGTTGATATTTTCTCTTTCTTCTTCGATATTTTTTTTCTGTTTCTTATCCTTTCCTTCTTACGAACCATTCTCTTCTATTTGCTTCAAGTGAACCCATAAATTATCCCATCTTCTGTTTCTTCTTTTATTACACGTGGCCTTAATAAAATAGCCAAACCCATCCTGTCACTCATTATTTCGCCAGACAATGTTGGTTGGCACTCTCAAACACGCAGAGATAAATTTTGTATAAATACACCACACACTTATACACATACTCACGCTAACCTATACAAACACACATATATATACCCACCTTTACATACATACGCACACTTGAGTACTTTAATATACCTAAGAGATGAGCATTGTAACTTGTATTTTTTTTACATCCGTCTTTATGTGTATAGGCATCTCTCGATTAATGCGCATTCGATAAATGCGTTTTCTATTTGCGTAGTAAAATTTTTAGATACCGAAATTCGATTAGTGCATACATAATACTCGCTTAATGCGGTAAAATTGATGGTTTTATAGTTACAAAATAGCCTTCTCCAGGTGATAGGAATTTCAACCTGAACCCTTTATTTCAGGGGTCGGCAACCTTTTGCTATGTGCCGACTTATGACTGTGCCAACAGCATACGTATTTTTATACAAGTCAACGTCAATATAACTGTTCTACAATATATTTTATATAGTAATATATCTCTATCTATAAAAGGCAGGATGTATGTGTGTCTGTGTGTGTGTGTGTGTGTGTAACGAATGCACGGCCGCAATTTTCGACGGATTTGCACCAAAATTTACATGCATATGCTCCAAATTAGCGGGAAGGCCAAGACCGACTTTGCATTTCCCAACTCCCATCGATAGTGGAAATAATCGATTTTTTCATGCTTCTACGGCAGTTTTCATGTAGTTTGCGCCCATTTTCTACTGGCCAGAGTGAGAGCTTATAGCTGGCTTCCACGAATAGGCAGGAAGATTCTATTGGCCAGCGTGAGAGCCAACAGCTGACTGAAACGAATGTTAACTAGCATGCTAGCATGCAAAAAAAATCTATAGCTGCAGTTGTCACAAGTGGGAAAAATTAAATCTGCATGGCCCTTTACTCCAATTGACTCATTCGCTTGCTTAAACTCAATGCTGATTCTGATTCCGAAGAACTGGGTTGGCTGTGAAAAAGTATTTGTTAACATTCTTTTTTCATTCGGTTTTTCCAGTTACGAGTCCTTTTTTAAAGCTGATCGTTTTGTGTTCATTTTGTTTAGTTCTTTTTTCATAACAGATTTAATGTTTAGTATAGTGTGAGATAGGCAAGAAGTAAGGCATGTAGCAACATCAGCACAGCAAAGGGCACTACTTTAAAGGCAAGGAAGGACAAAAATATTTTAAGTCAAGTGATAGCGATTGCTGTATGAGTCGTACGATTTTTGAATCAAGCACGGGCAACGCCGGGCCATGCTGCTAGTAGTATATATGCTTTAGTATATATTACATTCACTTTCGTGCTAATACCCTTGGGAAAGGTATAACTCTTCTTCATCTACCCCCAGCTATGGGTAAATAGCAGGACAGAACGGATTCTATAACCTTGGATGGCAACTGATCTACCGCAGAAAGAAATGGCAACCCACTGCGGGAAAAATCTGCGTCGTCAGTCATGTATCGGAAGATACATCATCGCTTAAGCTTGTAACACATATGGCACATAACTGACTGATATATTAAAACTGAAACAGTTAAATAACTTCTTTGCATAATAGCTATTGGTTCGGACTTCGTGATGTCATTTGCGGCTGCGTGCCATTGGAAATTGCTTGCCCGGCCACGTGTGGCACGTGTGCCGTGTGTGGCTGACCCATGCTTTATTTCATTTACTTTTTTTTTCTGGTACCATGCTTCTTCCGTAAATATGAGTCAGGACATTGAACTTACAACCCTTTTGGTCAAGTCACAGGATTATTTCAACCAATTATTTTAACCACTGGGCCGCAACCATCGAGGAATTATTGTATTTGAAATTTCTGGATTGTTTATCTTTCGACAGAATTCATGTCATGGCTTTTCCTAGTCATAGTCAATCATTAAGAGAATCCATATATAATTTTAGATTTTATAAGATATTTAAGTACTGCCACGAATTCCCTAATAAAAGCCGGAATACGTGTTTTAAATAATTTAAATGTCGGAAGTTAGATTTGGGGTTTATTCGAAAGATACTCGTCAGTTATCGAATCGCCATTATAGATGAAAAATGCAAACAACAAATTTAAAAATTTCTTAAAAATCCAATATTTGTCCGAGAGATGTATTTGAAAGTAAGTTTTAAAGATTACTTAACTGGATTTTGTAAACGTAATGCTTACTTTTTGCTTAAAGCATAATGGAAATTATGAAAGTAACTTTTATTTACGCGCAGTAATTTTCTACTTTTTTCCTTGACTTCAAAAGAGCGCGAAATCTTTTCCGAAAACTTAAAAAATATGGAACATGTTTATTTATGCTTAAATATAAATTATCTTTAACCTTATCTAAGCAAAAATTTAAGAATATAATTTTTTTATCTATTACGTTTTTATCAATCTTAGTAGAATTATCAAAAATAGATTAATTAAATAATTATTAAAAAAAAGAAATTCATTAAAAACTACTTTCGGGTTTAATTCATTGTTTTTATTTTTTATTATTTTTTTTACATGTTTGATGTAATAAAATATGTATTTGCATCCAAATGAATTTTTATTATTCTGAATTTAAGTTATTGAATTCTAATATATCGTATTACACTTCCGATAGAAAAGAGTAGTCATCAAAGGAGGTATTTCATAATTATTTCTATTTTGAACTTCCGTATAAAAAATAATCTAACAATTGCTAAAATGAAAAAAAAAACATTTAAAAATGGAAAATTGCATTAAACTTTAGATTTTTTAAAAAACTTTTTTTATTTAATAAAAACAAAAAAAAATCTTCTTACAGCAGGGTAACTTTCAAAATCACCCCGAAAAATTCAAGTAATTTTTTTAAATGAATATTCAGTGTAGATTTTTTTCTTGTCCAATTTGAAAGAAAATTATGCCAGTGCCAACTCTAAAAGAATTACTTATTTATTTTTTTAAAAATCGGTATCACCCATTGAAAGGCAATAAAGTCACTAAAACACAATGGTTACAGGGTGTGGAAGAATTAGGAACAGAAACATTAATAATGAGCGGAAAGAGGAAAAAAGTAATCAGGAGGACAGCATATAGGGATTGACATTGCATTCAAATTTTTGCAGAATAAAGTTGGATGGAAAGCAAGAAGCCGGAAAGGGAGTGAGAAATATTTTTTTATTTCTTTAAGGAATTAGTGTACCGGGAATTCCATCAGTGAGTCTATCGGAACATTATTATTATTATTATTATTATTATTATTATTATTACTATTGTCGTTGTTGTTGTTATTCGTTATATCAAGTTGATTTCATGCCTTTATTTAATGATCGGAGAAGAAGGCCGAAGCGTACAACGGCCGAAACGTTGTGATAAACATGGCGACAAAGATGAGGAGAATATTCCGAATATTGTAAATAGCGTAAAAAATTATCTTGCCACAAATTATTAGTCATTGGAGAACTGGGATTACCAAATGGCTTGGGAAAAGATCTGATTGGCGGTAAGAGGGCTGTAGGGGGTTATAAAAAAGAAGGCTGAGCGTAGACGGATAGACAGAAGTAATATCTTTTTCTTTTTCTTTTTTTTCAACAAAATATCTATGACAAAATCTGAGTCGCTTATACTTAAGAAACACGTATAATTTACAAATAAATTTCATATAAGAGCTATACAAGTAGGATTCGTTTGACTGCATTTTCTTTCTCGAAGTTAAGTCTGAACGTTTATTTGTATCTTATTGACATTATCTGCACAAGATGTGCCACATGCCATCCAGATAAGACAGCTGATGTTTGCTGGGGCCAATGCTCTAAGTTTGTAGATGCAACAATATATCAGGTCATCCCATAAGTCATGTCCGAATTTTAACTTTTTGTTAAAATGAACAAAATTTAAAGAGTATTTTATAATGTTTAATGGAGCTGAACATTATTTTTATGTTTAGATGCATTTAAACTGATCAAATTTTATTTCAGAGAACAATAAAATTAAATTTTGTTTGATTAAAACCCTGCTAACATGGAAGTACCCAAGAATCATTTGAGGCACATAATGCTTTATGAGTTCAAGAAAGGAAACTCAGCAACCGAAGCGGCTAGAAACATTCACTCAGTTTATGGAGAGGAATGTGTGAATGAAAGAACTTGCAGAAGATGGTTTGTAAAATTCAGAGGTGGAGATTTCACCCTTGAAGATGAAGATCGAACCGGACGTCCAGTTGAGTTTGATGAAAAGCTTCTTGAAGCAGCCCTTGAAGAAAATCCTGCTTTATCAGTTGAGGAATTGGCAGTGGTTCTCAGTTCAAACCATACAACTGTTCATCGTCATCTTCAACAACTTGGAAAAGTTCCTAAACTTGGAAAATGGGTGCATCATGAATTGTCTGAAAACAACCTCAAATCCTGAGTTGACATCTGCTCTTCTCTTCATTCTCGCCAACTTGTTTCTCCTTTTTTGGATAAACTTGTGACTGGCGACGAAAAATGGATCTTTTATCGAAATGTTAAGCGTCGTAGACAGTGGCTTGGTACAGGAGAAGGACCCCAGCCACAGCCGAGAAGGGAACTTCATGGGCAAAAGGTTCTTTTTTCAATCTGGTGGGATCGCCAAGGAATAATCCACTTTGAATTCTTACCACCTAATGCAACAATTAATGCTCAAATATACTGTCAGCAATTAGAGCGTTTGAACCAAGCTTTGAGGAAAAAAAGACCTGCTCTAGTGAATCGAAAAGAGGTGATGTTTCATCAGGACAATGCGCGACCCCATTATAGCAAGAATCACGTCACAAAAGATCGAAGAACTTGGTTGGGGAGAAAATTCTCATCCACCTTTTATTCTCCCGATCTTGCTCCTTCAGACTACCATTTGTTTCGTAGCTCACAGAATCATTTGGAAGAAATAGCTTTTGTAACACAGGAAGAAGTTAAAACTGACATTTGTGAGTTCTTCGAATCAAAGCCAAAAGAATTTTACAGTAATGGAATTAGTAAGCTTGTTAATAGATGGAAGGAAGACATGGATAATCAGGGAAAATACATTGTTGATTGAATCTGTAATTAAATGTAACATTTGGTCACTTGTTTTCAAAATTCGGACAGAACTTATGGGATGATTTGATAGCTACGGATATTCGTCTAGCGACACCTTAACTCATGGCTTATAAGAAAAGATGACATGCATTTGTATATTTAGAGTTAGTTTAGCTGTTCTAGTAAATTTATATATATATATATATATATATATATATATATATATATATACTATACAACCCACTGTGCGTGAAAATGTTAATATTTAATATTTTTTGTTGTTCAAAACATATATATATAATTAATACCAGGAAATATTTATCTTTATATCTTCGCCAGGGATACCTACGGTTTTGAATACAAAGTTGACTTTCTACT